TACTCTAGATGCAGGTTTAAGGGACAAAATAAAAGGTGTTCATGTGGCCATCAATAAATGGTAAACTACATACTCAAAGACATGAATACAAACAAACTGCAGCTTCAGAGAAAGACAACATTTCCTGTTTGAATGTCAGTAAAAATGGGCAAAAGGGTGCAGGGCACAATGAGGCTATCTGTATTGTATGTATAATTTATCACATCCACACTTAAATGGGAAAAAAACCCTACTGAGCTGAGGGACCATGAAATATGAAACACGACAAGTAAACAACAACAACAGACTTGTTATGAAAGAAAATCAGACAATATGATGTGTGAAGAAAAAAAGAAAATGCGCCAGAATGGCAGAGAATAGTTTTTGATTAGGACTTGTGTTCGCAAGCCCGTACTTTCACATTTCTCTCAAAAAAGAGAGAGAGCACAGAAATCCCTAAAAACTTAAACAACAAGCCTCATGTGTGGCTATGAAACTTCTGCTTGAAGTTTCACAGTTTTACAAAAGATGAGCAACGGTATCAGAAATTATCATGCTTCTCTGGTAAAAAGGCAAAAACACACGTCTGTGGCCATAAAACCACTGAGGCTACAAGTCTGCTCACACTGCACTAGAAAACTTATAAGATGTTTAGCAAGTCAAATTTGTTCAACTGTATCGATCTGTTTTTAATGAATTCAGCTCTAGCTGAGCCATACTTTTCTCTTATTTGGAATGTCAAAACTTTTCAAATTTCCAAATAATATCCCACTTTTCCAGAGAAAAAAGAGCTTTGGCTCAAATGCGTTCTAGCATTTAGAGTTGATTGCATGAAATTGACAAGTAAAGCATGGCGTCAGAAATTAAAATACTTGCTGTTGAACATTCACACTGCTTAGTCACTATTACAGTGAGTAAAAAAAGCTTAGAAAGCTAACCAGCCTAAAGATTCATTCTCACTATCACCAGCATCCAACAAGTCATCAAACTGAACTTAAAGGCTTGATCACTACAGAGAAAGTAGTGTATATGACACCTGAACTTCAATGTTTTATAGTTTTTCCAGTTGCAACGTTTTTGATATTTCAAAAGCAAGAATTTCACGCAGACTTGTCACATAAAAACAAGATTTACCAGAACCTTCAAATGGGGACTCGTGACTACTAATGTCAAACTTTGTGTTTTGATATATTCGTCACTAGAGCATGGCTGTGCCAGCAAAGGAAGGTGTATTGAAGATATATCATGTTAGT